AAGTTACATATCAAAGTTGTGTTTTTTTTAATGGAACACCCTATATTATATTAATTGATTTTCGGATTCTGGGAGAAAAATAAAGGTGAGTGATTCTCTTATCCTACATATATGAGAAATATATGACTAAAATGTAAGGTTTTTTACAAATTTAACATTTTCTAGAAATAAAGAACAATTTTTAAATTACAATAAAAGCTACCTAAATTGGAATTTACCCGGTATAACCAAATATGTACTTAAATTAACTATTGTACTTTAAATCAAATTAAAACTTCATCCATAAAGTTATACAGGGTGAGACAAAATTAATATTAAACATTGGTCATCTTTAAAAGCATGTTACTCTTTTATTTTAAATGGAACACCCAGTATATTATTCCGATTTTCAGTGGAGAATTCATGTCTCTTTAAAATTCTATTAAGGTTGCTTAACCCTCAAATAAAGATTTTCCTAGATATTTTCATTTACATGATTTGATCTGGGTCTCTCTCTCTTTGGTCCGTTTCTCTGAAGAGGGATTAGTGACTATGATGTTCCTGTAGCGGTTTTTATCGTATTGTGCCAGTCCGCTCTGTTTTGAGCCATGCTGACGGTTTCATGAAGGCCTTGGCCGATTAGGTCTTTAGTTTGATCAACCCATCTCTTGGGTGATCTTCCTCGTGGTCGCTTTCCCTCTACCTTTCCCTCGACTATTAGCAGCTGCAGTGAGTCCGTTCTTCTAGCAATGTGACCAATATATGTCAGAAAACATCGGTTTATTTTTTTGAGAGGCTGAGTTGTGAGTTTAGTTCTTGGAGAACTGACTCATTCGTACGATGGGCTGTCCAAGGTATACGTAGCAGACGTCTATATGCCCACATTTCAAAAGCATCTATTCGCCTGGTATCGCTTTTCTTCAGCGTCCATGTTTCCGCCCCATACGTAGCAATCGGGAAAACAAGCGAGTTCAGCAGTCTTAGTTTGGTGTTCTTAGTGATGGCTGTATCTTTCCATATCTTAGTTAATTTAGTTACGGCTGTTCTAGCCAGCGCAATTCTACGTCTTATTTCGCCTTCGCATGAGCCGCTGTTGTCGATTAGCGATCCCAGATATAAGTATTTATTAAGCACCTTAAATCCAGCTATGTTTCCCACGTGAGGTTAGTTGTTGTTTTGTCGGTCCACAATCATGACAGTAGTTTTGTTAGGATTAAGTTTTAGCCCAAATTCTGTACTAGTTTCTTGGAGACGTTGCATAATAAATTCCATTTCTTCCACACTTGATGTTATGATTAGTGTATCGTCGGCATATCTTAGATTATTGATTTTCCTTCCCCCACAGATACTCCACCTTGCCAGTTATCGAGAATATCACGCATTATGTACTCGGTATAAATATTGAACAATAGGGGTGAGAGAACACACCCCTGCCTGACACCCTTCATTGCTTGAAATCTATTTGATGTGACATCATTAATTCTTATAAGTCCGTAATTATGTTGGTATAGTTGTCGGGTAAGTAGAATAAGGTGATCAGGAACCCCCATTTCCTTGAGTATTTGCCAAAGTTTTTGCCACTTGACTAGATCGAAGGCCTTAGAATAGTCGATAAAACAGAGATACATTTCTATGTTGAATTCTCGCGCTTTTTCTATTAACTGTCGTTGCCTATCTGTTCTCTGGTACCCTTACCAGGCATAAAGCCAGTTTGTTCTTCTGCAATCTGTGGTAGTAGATATGGCCTGAGTCTGTTGTTAATAATCTGCAGGAGAATTTTGCATGCATGAGGAATTAAAGCAATCATTCGATAGTTATTGCAGTCTGCCGGATTACCCTTTTTATATAGTGGTATATATATACCACTATATAAAAAGGGTAATATAGGCAGCTCGCTATATAGCGAGCTGCACCAGTCGTCTGGCCAAATTCCCGTCTTTCAAATCAGATTGCATATGAAATTAATAACATCAATTACCGGTTGCCCTATTGACTTTAATATCTCAGCAGCTACACCATCTATACTTGGGGCTTTATTTTTTTTTGAGACGATTTAGGGCGTGTTCAACTTCTGATTTAAGGATCTCCGGTTCATGTTCGAATTGGTTGGGACGATTAATATTATTAGAAGATTCACCATCTTCGTAAAGCGTTGTGCAGTACTTTCGCCAGACTTCAGCAATACCATCCGGATCAGTAATCTTTCGACCATTTTCATCCTGTATAATTTGTGTACGTAGTTGAAACTCACGAGAGAGATATTTTACCTTATTGAATAGCTCTCTAGATTCGTTAGTTGCCGAGTGTCTTTCCAATTCTGTGCAAATCTCGTGGACGTGCTTGTTTTTATCCTGTCTACAGCTGTTTTTTATTTCTTTATTGATGTTTCTTAGTTTGTGTTCTTTGTCAAATGTTGTTGATATGACTAGGTTTCTTCTCTTTTCAAGCAAATTGATCGTATTATTCGACATCCAAGTTTTAGACTTTAATTTAATGTTTCCAGATGTGCAACTTCCTTTAACTATTTCATTTATCCAAGTCCTAGTGTCATTCCACATTTCTTGTACGTCATTTTTTAGTGTGGGCATTTTTACCGATTTCATTGTTTTCATTATTTCTTCTTTAGTAGGTACTGAATACCTTTTCGTTTTGATCAATTTCACTGCCTGTAGTTTACGATGGAACTTTGCCACTAGGATTTTATGATCTGATCCACATACCATGCCAGGTCTTGTCTTAACATTGGTAACAGATAACCGCCATCTACCGCTTATTAAGATATAGTCAATTTGATTTTTCGTTTTTTGATCGGGTGAGGTCCAAGTTGACAATCGTCTAGGGTGTTGTTTGAACATGGTATTTGTTATTGCAAGATTGTTGTCTATTGCAAATTGTATAAGTCTCTCTCCTCTGGCATTTCTGTCTCCAAGTCCGTACATTCCTATAATATTTTGTAGGTTGTTATTGTCAGCTGACTTTCCCACCTTGGAGTTGAAATCACCTAGAATGACTAGGGGTTCCTTTTTGGGTGTGGCTGATACTAGTTGTTCTATTTCTTGATAAATATCCTCAACTTGTTTGTCATCTGCGTCAGTTGTAGGCATATATACCTGAATAAGATGCATGTTAGTAGGTTTTGTACGGATGGTGACTTTAATAATGCGGTCACTAATGGTTTGGTAACTGTCCACGTATTGTACCATTCTTTTGTTAACCACAATGGCTACTCCATTCTGGCTTGCATTGTCTGAGCCCGACACGAAAATCCGATGTTCAGCAGTTGTAAAGTGTCCCTTACCTTTCCAGTGTGTTTCCGACAAACCACATATATCCATCTCTGCTGTCATCAGCTCACGCTCCAATATTTGAAGTTTCCCTACGCTCAGGAGTCCTCGGACATTCCACGTACCAATATTTATCTTGGATTTCTGAGGAAGCTTGTTGTTTTTCTTGTTGCTTGATCTGGGTAGATCATTATTATTTGAAAAAATCTAGGTGATGGCTGTGATATGTCTGACGTTACTTCAACATTCATAGCTGTCTAATTAGTCCAACTTTAATAACTAGTTATCATTTTGTGTCAGTTAAAACAAAAAAATTTCTCAGAACTTTGCCAAAAATGCAAACTTATCCTACATTAGAGAGAATTGATATGATTCTATTAGTTGGTGAATGCAGTGTACATTCAGCAACAGGAAAGGAAGCTTTTTGAGCATTTGATTTCATCTAGCTAATTTTTGTCACATAATTATAGGTTTATATCTAGTTTTAATTGTGTAATAATTAAAATATGTTTTAAACGTATATTTTTATTACCGTTGAGTATTTTACTCTACAAGCTTTAATTTTTGTTAAATTAACAAAAGGTATCACAGCCACCCTAGATTTTTTCAAATAATAAAGATCTACTGACGCAAAATCATAAAAATTAAAATATCTAAGAAAATCTTTGTCCGAGGCGTAGGCAACCTTAATAATATTTTGAAGATACATATATAAATTCCCCATTGAACGCTGGAATAATATACTGGGTGTTCCATTTAAAATAAAGGAATAACTTGCTTTTAAAAGTGTAATATATACATATTATTACATCATGTTTGTAGGTACATAGAATTAAAAAAATGTTGATTTCTTCTACCACTAGCTGCATTTTCTTTCTTCGAAAACACAGTAGCTAGATGTCCCTTCTGATTGCATATATTACAGGCATAATTCGAAAACGACAATTTTGCGTAATATGATTTTTTCTGATTCACAAAAAGTGACTAATGATCCATATTAATGTTGTCTCACTCTGTATAACTTTTCGGGTCAAATTTAAATTTGGTTTAACATACAATGGTTACTGTAATTAAATATCAGGCTCTACAAGGTCAGCTAAAATTTAGGTAGCTGTTATCGAAATTTAAAATTTACTGTTCATTTTCACAAAATGTGAAATATGTCAAAATCCTTAGATTTTAGGTATATGCTTCTAATAAAACTCACCTTTATTTTTTTCCTAGAATCCGAAAATCAATTAATATATACATTAGAAAAAACTTAAACTTAATTTTTTTTTGGGACACCCTGTATAATTCTATATATTTTATATAAAATGCTTTCAGTTAACCTACATATGCTGCCAAAATTTCATCATTTCGATATAAACTACCGTTCTCCTTGGAGCTTCCGCGGCGTATGAGAAGCACCACACTGTATAGTGATAGTAAGCACTATTCAGTTTGGTACACAATTTTTTTGATACCCTGTACAGTAACGAATATTGTAACGGACTTTAAACAAATCCAGTTCAAAGTACTATCTGCCAGATGTGACAGATTAAAAATAGTACTCGTATATGAGAAAATTAAACATATACGTAAGTGTGAGTTAAATATAAAAAAAATAACAAATTAGTGGTACCGCGGCTCTATTTTTGATAAACCCTGTATGACAGCATGACGGATTATCGTTAAACCGGTACTGTCGAGAAATCAGTACCTTGGAAAGTAATCTTTGGCGTTCGGCTAAGTTCGGTACGCGCTGTGGGCGACTGACTTCTTTCAGCTCCAAACGGCTCTGCTCAGGTACCGTAGACTTCGCCAATAAAAATTCATCATTCGTTCGTCAGTCGTTTGTGCGCTGGCATGTAAGTACTCTGGTGACGTCACAGTCTTCGGCACGGCCGACTGAACTTGCTTGTTCTTTTAAAGACATTTCCAAGATAAACATGGCGAGGGATCGGTACGTCTCGTGCGTTAATTTTTGTGTGTGCTTGTGCGTTTTTGTGTTCTTTTCCATTTCTTGTGCCGCTTCAGATAGCAGTAAGTACCGTGTACCATTACGTCTTTACTGTATTCTTATTTCTTTGTTTTGAATGAAACTGTTATTCGATGTACCCAATAGCCGACAGCTTAAGTATTTATGTCTGTATAAGTTCGTACCGGATTTCTTAAGGCAAATTTGATACCTACTTGAGGCTGTAGCTATACTTGCGCTAAGTGGTCGTGTAAAAAACGTCTAAGAAATAAGAGAACGGGTTTTGAGATCGTGCTCGACTGAATTAACAAAACTAATTGTTATAGGAAAGGAACAGTAGGTATAAAATTATGAGTATGTTTCATGAAGTATTGAAATAAGTCGGTATAAGTACATAATCGCAAGAAAAATGAGGCCCTTTAAATTTTCAATAAAATCTCAAATATATTCTTATTCTAAGTTTAAATCAAAGTAAGTAATCATAGCCAAGGAACTAGATGATCATCAATCATGTAAAATGTTATTTTTACTTAAAAGAATAAAAGTCATTGATATCTCCTTAAAACCTGTTTGTAAATTATTGTTCTTTTTATGATGTTTAAAGATCCGGAATATAATCATGAATATAGCTTGTTTTTATGAAATAATATTTGGAACTATTTGGAAGATGAAAGTTCAACTATACAGTATAATATAGTACAATACATACTTACTTCCTACAGACATATCAATTTTTTAGATGCTCCTACCTCATTAACTTGTATAGGATAAGCGCAATTATTCAATAAAGCATACTTTGTTTTAAGTTGGATTGCTCTGAAAAGGGTACATGAGTAAAAAATCCTTATATTTTTTCAATTAAGTACTGTCGATATTACAATATACAATTATTATATTAATTGTCTGTGCATATTGTTAAGTACTATGTTACTAAAGTCTAAATATAATTAAACGGGTAATTATTAATATAAGTTCAATGACCAAATATATTGCAAAAATGTGTTTTTTTTCTACGGTCGTGCAAAAAGTAGATATATTTTACATTAACTACTGTATTAAGTCGGACTCTGACGACTTGCGTAGGTACCTACTTAGCTAACATTTTTAATAACATACCGGGTCCGGCGAAAGTGCGTCGTAGCTCCTATAATAAATAATAATTTAGAAATTTGTATAGACGCACTATTGCCGAACCCTGTATACCAATGTCTACTACTTGTACTACCAATGTCTTCTACTACCAATGCGCGCCAATAAAACTATTTTTTTTACACTAGTGCAAAAAATAGCTTATTTTTGCATTAGTGACATACTTAAACCGCTTAATACGTTAAATTTTACTTAAAAAGGTGCTTTGGAAATGTTTTTCTAAAAATACAACCCCAAACCAAACAAAGTCTTCCATAGCAAAAAAGTTACAGCGATTTGTTAAAAATGCACATTTTTGGAAAACACCCCGTAATTACGAAACGGTAACAGATAACTAACCATCTAACTATCATGTTGTTGATAAAAATTGAGCTCCAGACACCGATATTAGTTTTCGTCTATCTCCTATAGAAAAGGCTTCCCTTTAAAAGTGTGCAATTTGGCTCACCCTGTACACATATTTCCCCTCTGGAATTTCGGAAACAGAATAAGATATGATATGAACTTTGTTACTTATATAGGCGATTTATTTGCAATTTTGTATAAATATTTGATGAGATATTTAATATTTGACCTTCATTAATCGTTTGGGGAAACATTTGAGAATTCTTGTTTGACTGGGCGATTTTAATTTGAATACTTACAACTAATACATTAGCAGCATCATTATAAAATGGAGAAAACGACATAATAATTTTTATACTGATAGTTTTAAACTTTTTACTAATGTAATTAATGTTGCCCAATGAACATCGACCTCCAACTTAATTTTTTTAAATTTAAAATATTTGTCTTCTGCCGAGCACGGAATTTTTGGAACCAAAAGACAAAAAATATTTGAGGCAATTTGTTTAGCCATTAAAAAATTATACAGGGTGTCCCACAATTAGTGCGACAAACTGAAAGGAGTTGTAGAGGGCATCATAACAAATCATATGAGTATAGTAACACAAGTCCGGAAATGTGCCGTTTTGGCAGGAGGTGGAGTGAAACGTAAATTTCAAGTTGCATTATTTATTCAAAACATTTACAAAAACTGCTCAAAGTGCCGTCCATTCTGTTGAAGACGCAAATGCACACGCCTCTTCGCTGTTGTTAGTAGGGCATGCAGTCCGTGTTGGTACCTTAAGGCGGAATTACATTACTATCACGTCACGTGAATTCACATTATATTTGATGAGACCGATATTTTGCATTTATTTTATTAATCAACAAATCAAGGGTGAACACATTATTGTCACTTGGGGGATTCATGTAAAATAACGTGATATTGCGAGTTGTTTCGCGCTCAAATATTCTCTTTTAACATCAATTTCGTGAGGCGTGAAAACGTGAAAAAGAAATTCTAATAGAAAAAGTGCGTTTACACGAGGGGCTTTACAATAACCGATCAACAAATTACTCTCTTTTCAAATTAATGTCATAAACCCATTGCCTAGTTTTAATATTATCAGCAACCACAAGTAAACCACATGCGTTTTCTAAATCTTCTTCAAACTCAGAAGATGAAGATGAAGAACTATTTATTTGATTCATTATTACGTTAAGTATAGGACCTAAGTTGTTAAACTTGAGAAGAACGCTGAACGAGCGAGAAATGGCTTTCGGTTCATAATTAAATGCGCATAATATGAAAGAACGACGTGATACTAATGTGTTTCCTTTAAACCACACGTGAACTCACTTTTACTGTGATAGCATGTGAATTCACGTGACGTGGCAGTAATGTAATTCCGCCTTTAGTGCACGTCCAGTCAAGGTCCTTCCGCTCATTTTAATAATACCGGACATGGGTTCCTATACTCAAATGACTTGTTTTGATGCCCTCTACAACCCCTTTCAGTTTGTCGGACTAATTGTGGGACACCCTGTATTAAAAAGCTAACTGATTATGTTTTGATTTTCATCATAAGCCAAATGGCTTGGAGTTTTGAAGTTGTAAAGTTATTTTCTGGTGTTATAAACGTGGTCTTCAGCGATATAGGTAACTAACCATCTAACTCTTGTTTTCGGACAAAGTTTACAGAATTAAAAATGTTTAATTTTGTAAACGTCAACTTTGCTTCGGACAAGACAAAAACACAACGAATTATTCAAACGGTCAGGCCGGCCACTCGTGAAGACAAGGACATATTTTTTCTATTTTTAGCATAGGTATAAAAATATGATAATAGTCTATCTAAATAACTATTCTGAATTTGGGATTCATTAGAGAATCGCTAAACAGAGGAAAAAATATTTTTATGCAACATGTAGTCATGTTAAATTTTATCCAAAATTTGCTTAAAGTATTGCTTAAAAACTTATAGAGTGGTGAGAAAAATAAAAAAAAATGTGTAATAATAAAATCAGAACAGTTAGTTAATAGTAACAGAATATATCTCATAGTAATTTTTTGAGATGAAATTTTAATAAAATTAAAAAGGGTGATTCGTACTACAAACATTGTACTAATACTAATAGCTAATAAGATATAAGTTATAATTTTTACAACTGTTTAAAATAAATCTTGGCCAAAAATCTATTATTAGTGAAAATATGAATAAGTTTGTAAAAATCTGAAAATTTTTGGGCGAAGGAATGTTTGCCCGGTTTTTTTATTATCACTAAAATATGACATTATTCAAACAAGTTCCAAAATGTAATAGCACTTTGAATCATAAAAACTTTGAATCATAAAAAAATATGAAATTTTTGACGAGTTAAAAAACAATTTGTTCTATCAATCAATGATGCTTATGAAATCTATCTTCGGAGCGTTAAGACTTGGAGAAAAAAATCAGGGATCTTCGAAGAGGAATATCTCGAAAACTAATTCTACGTAAAAAATTGAGAACCAATTTTTTAGGTAATTAAATCTCATTTTTTATTCCAACAAAAATTGTGTAGATTGCATATTTTGGCAGATATTTGCGAAAAACGACAATCACATGATTTTCCGCCAAAACTGGCCGAGCACGGTGTTACAATTTTTTCCCCTAAAGCTACTCCCCAAAAGATACAGGGTGGGTCAAATTCGACGCTTTTAAATAGAAACACCCTTTTCTATAGGAGATAGACAAAAACTAATATTGGTGTCTGGAGCTCAATTTTTGTCAAAAACATGATGGTGAAAACCGCATATCGATATTCTGATACCGTTTCGGAGTTACGGGGTGTTTTTCAAAAATATGCATTTTTAACAAATCTCTGTAACTTTTTTGCGATGGAAAATTTTGTATTTTTATGAAAACATTCCCAAAGCACCTTCTTATGTAGAATTTAATGGTTTAAGTATAATTTTTTTAAAATTAATAATTTAAGAATTATCAACAGAAAATTTGATTTTTTAAAGGGACACCCTGTATATTTTTAATTTATTTAAAAAATTTAAAATTACCTTTCCAAAAATATAACACACTTGATATTTTGCTCGATTCCTCTTCGAGATATAGAGTATATAAAAATTCGCCCGCCTTAAATAAGTAGGCTTTGAGCGCCACCGGCTGTAATGCAAAAAAATTCTAGCTGTGAGCATCAATTAAAACGAAAATAATATTTGCTATGAGAGATGCAGAATTTTATAACAATTTAAAATATATTTAACCAACATCAACACATTTAAACTATATCTAATAACAATAAAAATAAATAGCAAACCAAGACATGAGATTTTGCTACAAGTGTTCGACATATCGACCGTCTTCTGTTATGGACAGACGGGGCAGTTTTTGAAAATTTCTCGCGGAATCCGTTAACTCAGTAGGGGTAAAAAATACCCTCTCATAACTGCTAAGTATTTTTAATTCTTGTCTAGATTATACCGAAGAATAAGGAACCTTATTCTTCCGCAAATATATCCATAGGATAAGATCCATGGGCACTAAGTCAGGCGGCCTCGACGGCCAACGGCTGGGATCTTGGTTAGCTATCTAAT